AGTTTATTGGTCATTGTCAGATCAAAAAACTGTCCTGAATTAGGGTTTATAAGAAAAGTGTATCATGAGGACATCAAATATGAAATGTCAGTAATGATCAAAATTAATCAAACCCCACATTTACCCTATATTTGACTAATTTCCCCAGACCCAAAGTCCCCAAATGGAAACCATCATGCAAAATTCACCATTGGAACAACTCCTCAATAATGCTAACAATTCAAAATATGGGTTCCTATCAAGCCATTCATTCAATTTGATTGCATGAAAATTAAAGTAATCTGAGCAAAACCAGTCTCCAAAACGAAAACCTAAATCTCTGATAAGAGCAAAATTCGAGAGAAAAACACAATACCTTCCATGGGTATGAGGAATAGTGGTGAATTTCACGTCTCTGTACAAGTTTTGGGGCCAAAGGTGCAAGATTTTGTTTCAGATGCTTCTTAGAAAAGTAATACCCTTATACGCCAAAACCAGAAGTGAATACAACATTAATATATTGTTGCCATTATTCTGTGTGTTTTGAAAATGACCCCAAAATAACGCTTACGAACAGAGGGAGGAGCTTCTGGTGAATGAGGAGAAACATCAACAAGTTTAATTCGTGATATGTTATATCAGGGTAAAACTGTTATTTCGATTCAACTTAATTTACTTATTCAAGTTATCATCACTTTTTTACAACTTCACCCCCTTCATTTTAATAGTACTTTTCTCAGTGAACATATATTAGTTTCATAATATATGTCACTCTATATTATATTTGCTTTGATTAATCAGATGATTATATACTCCCAAACATGATATTCCTTACTCGTAAGGTGGCCTTAAGATGATGGCCTTAACCAATTTGTTTTAAGTCATACTCATGATATAACTATATGAAGTAATATCTTTCTATCTTTTTTGAATCAAAATAAAAGAAAACATTAGAGTAATGTTCCATTTTTTAAAATTTTAAGTGAACCATCCGGTTTTTCACCCGGTTATTCTGGTTTAACCGGGTTTAGCACGGTCAAACCAGAATTTTTCCGGTTCAAAGCAGTTCAACTACTCATTCGATTAAGACTACAAAACGGAGTCGTTATCAAATCCGATCAGTGATCGAACCGGTCGAACCGTCCAGTCCGGTCTGGTTATCACGTGAACAACAATGTACATTAACAATGTTTTGAGTTTGACCTTTAATAATATTTTGTTGGATAATGCTAAGGTTCAAAATGTAATAAAAAATGTCTTTTAACAATTAATTTTAGAGGGGCTAAGAAGAAGGCCACACTGAAGCATAAAGTTATTTTTAACTCTATCTATAGCAAATTACCACGTGTGGTTTATGCAGAATGTATAATGAAAATATTGGACCCAAATTTAAAACATTTTTAAAACTGACTATTTTTTGAATTGATTTCCGAACGAAATTCATAAAAGTCTAATGGTTTATAAATTTGGTTGAAAAGTCGATATTGATTATTAAACTTAAACTTCTTTTACGATGCAAAAATTATATTTTCATACATTAAGTAAAATACTCATTAGCAAAAATGTAGAGTGAAGCTTAAAAATGAACAAAATGACATAATTTTCTTACCAGATGAAAGCTATTTTAGACTAACCTAATTAGAGATGTTTAATTAGTATCTAGTTTTAATCAATTCTTACACACAAAAACTATAGAATCCAAACATAAAAAAATGGTTTGTATTGCTTGATTCGAATGATAAATCCGAACCAAATAAGTTTAAAATGATTTGTATTGAATTGATTTATTGAATTTGTGCTTTTTTATTTGATATCTACTACATAGGTAAGAAAAAAATGTTTTTGCTACATCATTATGGACACGTGTCAATTTCTCCTTGACTTCTACTATCTTAATAAGAATATAAGGGGCTGGTGTAATTACAACAATAAACATTCTAAATTACCGACACTTGACATTTTAAGGGTTAAATTTGTCTTTACCAATTTTTGCATTAATTTTGCATACTCCTCTCTCTCCATTCCCATTCTAAACATTTCATTCTTTTTTTTTCATTCATTTTTCTTATCTCTCCACTTCCATTGTTGACATTTTTCTCCAGTTTTTTTTCTTCCTCAAACGTCTTTCTTCATCATTCCTTCTTCATTTTTTTTCGTGTTTATTTGTTGCTTTTTAGTCCAATATTTGTTGCTTTTTGTTGGCCTCAAACGTCTTTATTTTGCCTCAAACGTCTTTATTTGTTGCTTTTTAGTCCAATATTTACTAAAAGATAACATTTTTACATGAAAATTTAACATTTTTTTGGTTATTTTTGCTCCATGAAATTTATTTTCCGCTTTTTTTAGTTCAAGATAACAATTTTGGTGTTGTCTTGGATATGCATGTTATTTTGGAACTGTTGAGAACATTTTTAGTAGATCAAACTTATTTATTTGTTGTCTTTTTAGATCAACATTTACTAAAAAGATAACATTTTTACTTGAAAAGTTAACATTTTTTGGTTATTTTATCTTCATGAAGCTTATTTCAAGCTTATTTCGGCCTACTTCAGCATATTGTGTTCAGTGTAGGTACTTGGTCAAACAATAATACATATCATGTGCACTAGCTTTACATTTTATCTTCACTAAGTTTAATATTTTCCTTATGGTTGGTTATCTGAAACTTTAGTTGAATATATTGTTCAATTTTTATTTACATTTTTACTGGATCAATATTTTTCTTGATTTTTTAGTTCACGACACAAGTTACAAAACATAAAGTGTCGTAAAGTATTATTTTTTATAACATTGATTGTTATTTATATCTCTTAATTATATGTTTTAAATTTTTGAGTAGCTAAAACGTTCTCAATTAATATAATTTAATTATTTTTTAAATATTAAAACGCTAAATGGAATATGTAATAATTATGCATGTAAATAGATCTTAAAACGTTCTTAATTAATATCATTTAATCATTTTAAAAAATTAAATAGTAGGAATCCAATATTATTATTAGTAGAATGAGATATGTTATTTGAAATGATAAGAAAATATGTTGATATTTTGTCTAACTTAAAATGATTGAGAAAAAATTTATTTTATAAAATAACCATTTTTAATATCATTTAATTATGTTTTAAAACTTAAATAGTAGGATTTCAATCTTATTATTAATAGAATGAACTATGATATTACAATTAATAAAAAATATGTTGATATTATGCATCATTTAAAATATGATAGACAATAAATTTATTTCATAAAAATATTTTTTTAATACTAATTAGAAGAAAGGTAAATAGTTCACAGATACTTCCATTTCAATAATTAATATTAGGGAGTTATATTATTCGCATAAAAATGTAAACAATAGCTCACAATGCTATTATTAAATTTAAATATTATAGTCAAATAAACAACAATAATTGAACAGAGTTGGGTAATAAAACATGTATTGGGGATAAGCACATGCTGCATATGACTACAACAATGATACACTTAAAAAAATTTAAAGACGTTAATTATATTTTATGTGTCAGAGTTGGGTGACGGTGGTAGAAGAGCAGAAGAAATGATAAAAAAAACTTGTTTTTCAACCAAACTATAATAGTTAGTATTTGGTATGACGTCTCAACCACTCATTTTATTCATTTTATTTTTGTTTATTCTCTTTACAATCATACGTAATAAACGATCAGCATTTGTAGTAAATGATTGAGAGAATTTATTTCATAAAATAACCATTTTTAATATTATTTAATTATGTTTAAAACTTAAATAGTAGAAATTCAATCTTATTATTAATAGTATGAACTATCATATTACAATTAATAAGAAAATTTGTTGATATCCTGCATGATTGCATGATTTAAAAAATGATAGACAATAAATTTATTCCATAAAAATAATTTTTTAATACTAATTAGAAGAAAGGTAAATAATTCACAAATACTTTCGTTTCAAGAATTAATATTAGTGAGTTATATTATTTGCATAAAAATGTAAACAATCGCACACAATGCTATTATTAAATTAAAATATTTTGATTTTATGTATTCAAAATATTAAATAATAACCTCCATATGATTTATTCATGATTTTTTAGTTATTATAATAATGATGTGTTTCTCAATATATTTTATAAAGTTCAACGTTATTTATCTTCAAATAGAGCAATGCAAAGTATTAAAAAAATTTGTCCTACCTAATAATATATTCATATTGAGAAAAACAATATTTGTGTCGTCTATTAATTGCAAATGATCAATTAATAATATATCAAACAATCCATAGAAAGATAATAAATTGATAGGCTGCTGTTATTTTTATTTCTTATTTATTTATATTGATGTTTAGTTTAACATCCATGCGAGAGTCAATTGATTAAAATATTATCAATAAAGTTTGGGTTGTAGCTCTCAGAAGGAGATGTAAGATTGGATATTTTTGTATAAGATACCAAGAATGCAAGAATGATTAATGAGGTAAACAAATGTTTACTTACTAACTAGTTTAGAGTGTGTTGGATTAGGAAATTTATAAGTTAAAAAGTTATTGATTAAGTTTTCAGCCATGTTATTTAATACAAGAAGTTCTACGTCATGATATTCAACCATAACTCTAATTCATTATTCACTTACATAAATATGATAGTGATAAGGTAATCATCAATAATATTTTAATTTATAAATTATTTTATAGGTTTAAATAAATTTATGTAAAATATATTATCACTCGTGCGAATGCACGAAAACTACTAGTTTACAATTAAAACAAATTGCTTTTTTTATTGTACTCAATCAAGAAGATTAGGAATGTTGCAAAAAATATCCATTTATTGCAGTTTAATTCCATTAAAATATAGAAATTAAAATACAGATTCTCCAACCACTATCATCCACGTTTCCCAATCTCAACCACTCATCCTTATCCTTCTCCACCATGATCCACGTTCTCAGAATAATTGGAAAGATCGGCATTTCCTGATTTGTTGATAAGGACTTGTATACATCAAGCTACAAATTTGAGACAAGGGTCTGAAGCGTTTCACATTTTAAGTAATAAACGCTTCTTAATGCTCTTCTTGGTAGAATGGATCATGTTTAGGGTTTCTTGCCTGATAATGTGACCTACAATACTTTTAATAATGCGCATTGCCGACTAGGGTTAGTGTTAGAATCTTTTAATCATGTGATTTATACTAAATTCCCAATATGAAGGCGGGGCATTTTATCTTCAAGTTTCGTCCAAGTTTGCCTCATTGTTATAAGCCTTGATTTTGTGTCATTGTGGTGATTTACTCATTCTGATGCATTTTTGTTTTGTGTTAGCCTATTAGGTCTAACTGTGGCCTATGGCTGTGCCATTCCTTGGATGCAGAATCTGCAGATTATTTTGTACCAGAACTGCAAAATCCTTCTAAAGCAATCTTAATGGAGTTGTAGCCATCTTTTGGGTGGTAAGTCATATTTCCGTCCATTTATCTAAGTAGAGTTGTTGAAAGGTTTGTCATATGGGTCTGACTTCACTAGTTAAATCATGAGTGTGACTTCAAGGATCTTTTTTTTATTAAACTGATATCAAATTTCTTTTTTTGTTTTAAATATGAATCCATTTTTCTCCCACCACATCTATTATGCAATGTTGCAAGATAATGGATAGATCAAGGAACTATTCAACCGTCTAACTTATCTTTTGCCGACAAAAAAAATAGTGTAACTTATCATATGCAAATTTATAATGCTGTTTTATTGTAGAATTTCATCGCAAAGGGGGGATTGCACCATTGTTTATCCCTTTAACCTTGGCTTATACGTGTAATTGAAACTATAATCTTTGCTAATGTGCTTATAACTTGGTAAACTATTCAATTTGTGGCAAATAAAACTTATGGTTAATGAAATGGGTAACTGATGAAATACAAGGGAGTTTCAGTGTTTTAGTAATGTATAAATAAAAAAACACTTCTTTAAATTCAGTTTGGTCATATATTGAATCGAGGAGCTGATCATTGAGTTTTTGGTTTGGAGGATGAGAAGTTTATGAGTATAGAATCAAATTTAGAGCAATAGAGAGAAATAGAAGATTAATTTTATGAACACCACATTACTGTAGGAGGAAGATAAGATCATATTACTTATTTTTAAGTAAGTTCTCATAAATAAGGAAGAATAATCTGGTATAAATTTGAGAATATTGAAGATGTAATTATTTTTTTTTTAATTCGGCCTGGTCTTGAAATGTTGAGTGTATATAGTTTTATTTTGGTGTTTTGTTGTTTGGGTTGTTAGCCCCTTACTTTCATGGAAAAGTGGCCCAAATATATAGTTGAAATATATAAAATTAACCTAATAATATATATCCTTGATATAAATTATCTTATCATATGTTCCTCTTATTCTTTCATCAAATATTATATAACATTAAAGTGTTGATGATGTGTCAATCTATTATAAGTGGATAAAACCTAATTTATATCTTTATATCAAGAGATAATTTATCTTCTAAAATTAATTAAATATTTAAAGTATTATAAAGCAAAGGAGAAAAACTCAAAAAAAAAATCATGACAAATATAAACAAAAAGATGAAATATAAAAACTTAATTATTTTTTTGTTATAACGTTCAAATAAATAATAAAATGGTTTCATGCTCCTTATATAGAAATCTAAGGTATATATTCAAAATTAATCAGCATGCGACACCATTGAAATAATCAAATAAACAAGTTTTATTGCTAAAACATTCCCTTCTCTTCTCCTGGGATAATCTTATACCTCATACTTCATCCCATGCTGGCTTAAACAGTTGAAGATGTCGATTCTTTGGATCATCTCATCATTTGTTAAATTTATGTTGACCAATGACCACTTCACAAATGATGCATAAATTCTAGCTCGGTACCTAGGATAGGAGTACTTTATTTCTTTCATATTAATTTCATCTATGTACCAAGATAATAATTTGGAAAACGTGTTAAAAAAGGATGAAAAGGAACATGTGAAATAATGAATTATATTGGTAACATTGTTTTAGTCCTGGTGTGTGCTGTCAATGAAACCTTCAATCAAACTTAGAACAACCATAATTAACCAGCTAATGTTTAGGTTTATGAAAATATAATGTGAATAATGTGATCATATTCTATACTATATGTTTTTTTTTAATTCCTTTACCTGCCCTTGACAATCTGACTAGGCCTAATTATAATTTCAAGTGCAGGAAGCAGGACAGATTCAATGTAATAATTGAACAGTTCTTTTTAATGAAGGGATCAATTCACCTTTTCATACACGTTTACATTTCAGCAATATATCGTCTACCATTCATATTTAATCATTATTGATGTTTCAAAAAATTAATTGAAATGAATTATGGATAATATAGTGATTATGTATGAATCTTTACATTGATAATGTATAAATATTACACTCTTTATATAACTACACATGGAAATCATTGGCAGTACGTGGATTAGTTAGATCTGAGAGTATATGATGAATCTGATAAACATAAATTATTGTAGATCTAGTAAAGGATGATCAAGTTTGGAGACATGCCCCACCACACTCAATCTGGTCATAAATAAACAAAACACCCAAATGGGATCGGCATCTCATTCATTAATGGAAAGACAAATACATATATTTTTTAATGGTAAAATTGTAATTTTATTGTAATTAGAAAGATAAATATGTTAATAAAAATTAAATTTTCTTTTGCTTTTTAGAATATTTGTCCATCCGTTAATGGATAGGATCCTAACTCCCCAAATGGAATGTTGGGCTCCTCAGTTTTTATCCTCTTAAAAGTAGAGTTTCATGCACTAAACATAATGTAAAACAACAACCCTATGGTAATTGAAATCTTCAAAACCTTTTCAAATTAGAGCAACTACTGCAGTAACTAACAAGATCAAGCATAGTTCTTACATAATTGACTTATTGGATGCAATAAAAACACTTAAACAAAATCAAACATATATCACTTAAATCATTAGTACAATTAATAAAAACATACAAGAGAAAACATAATTACTTATTGTATGCAATATTTATGCATTATCAAGATAAATACATCATCAATCATTCATTTATATTTTTTAAAGAATCAATGATAATTAAACATGAATAGTAAATGATGTGTTGATAGTACATAAAACTAGTACATCATCTGTGCGCACATTTTTTCTCTTACTTATTTTTGGGAAAAAATATTATAATAAATCCACAATTTGGCAGTGGACATCTCAATACAATAATCTAACGACATCATGATTATATTGTCTAAAAATGACACAAATTTGTTTCTAATTGACTTGAATATCCAACCAAACAGATAGACAAGAGAAAACACTGAATGGGGGCCTAATTATGAATTAAATGTCCCTACAAATTGCTTGCTCGGACAAATTCAAATTTGCATGAGGAAACAAAAACTCAGTGCTCATTGCTCAACCCAAAAGACATTGTTTTTCCATTAACGTTATACAATTAAGAAAATGAATCTGCGGCTGAAAGAAATGTATAACGGGTGAGTGGTTTGTGTTTTGAGACTAATGATGAAATTGACAATGATGGTGATTACGTTCATTGACTGAGATAATTAAGACTTTCAACTTTTAATTAACAAAAGAGAAATTTTCAACAGTTTCTTCGTCATTGCTGATCATGGTGTATAAAAAAAACTATGGAAATGGATAAGTATGTGGTCATCCTAACTATGATTTTACTATATCTTATCTTTACTTTTTTGGGTAAAATATATACTTAGATCTCTAATTTTCCTTTCTTTGACTGAATAGTTATCTTTTCCTTTCAAGTGTAAATCATATATAGTAAAAGAATTTAAAAGAAACAATATTATACTATAAGGATAGTTGTAATTTGTTTGATCTACAAAACACAACTTTATTAAAGATATACTTAATTGTATAAAATATTACAAAAGTGAGATAATGTTAAGAAGTAGAAAAGTAAAAACAAATTAATAACGTATGTGGCATGGAGAGAGTTGTTTTAAATGTGTACGTATTATGTTATTGACTATGGTATTTAACAGAGAGGTGTTAAGTAGAGTAGAGGGATTGAAACAGCTAGCAACTTGCTTCAATGTAATTTGATAACAGAACATGGACCGTATAAGAAGTACTTCATTGTTGATTAACAGAATAATAATGCAAAAGTAAACTTCAAATATGTAAGCAAATTACGTACGGAAAGATCATCATATTGTTTGTACGTACTCACAATATGCGTACGTATGAAATGAGAGAGACATGTATATATATATATATATATATATATATATATATATTTGAAGTTATTTCTTTTATTTTGACTAGTCCTGATTAAACGGCCAGTTTTGAACCGTGGATTTAAGCACTGCCCCAATCAACTTGTTGATTATTTAAGCAAAAAAAAAAATAAGGGGATGATTCACTTACTCCAATAGTAAGTGGAAAATGACTTACTTCACATCTTAAGGGAGGGATCCACTTACTCCAAAAAACACTTACTCTTCATCTTAGCCATCCAATCTTGGAAAATTCAATGGCTTAGATGTATTCACCAATTCAAACCATTGGATTTCCCAAGAATGAATGGTCATGATGTGGAGTAAGTGTTTTTCCACTTACTCCAAGAGTAAGTGGATCCCTCCCCCACATCTTAACCATTTAATCTTGGAAAATTCAATTGTTTAGATGTACTTACCAATTCAAACCATTGGATTTTCCAATATTGGATGGTTAAGATGTAGAGTAAGTCATTTTCCACTTACTCTTGGAGTAAGTGGATCCCTCCTCAAAAAACAAAGCATAAGTAAGGTTGAATGTGGATCCTCTCTATTGCTACTCGAGAGGCCAAGCTAGGTTGGCCATATTTTGACTCATAAAAATTGTATCAATCTTAACTCAATAAACCAAGTTAAAATCCAATCTTTTCTCGAATTGTTGGATATCCCAAATGTACATTTAAAGAACAAGTTTTATATCATATACAATTGGATAATCTAAAGATTATATAAGTTAATGAACTCATAAATCTATTATTTTTTAAGATATTTAATCAAGATGTCAATTTCAATTTTACTTAACCAATAAAAAAACATTTTAGCCTATAAAGGAACATTTCTCACACATAATTGGCTTTAACTAAAATATATATATATTATTTGTATGGGGATCACAATCACAAAAACCAATATGAAAAATGAGAACAAGAAAAGAGCTAGTTAATATTTGAGTGTAATATCTACGAAGTATTGGTATAAAGGTTTATACACAATTTATACATTATTCATCATTCGTTTGTATTTTTTGAATAATCAGTAGTAAAACTAATATACTATTAGTGCATACATTTTTTTCAACTATTACTTTTAGAAATAATCTCTTTCCTGTACTTCTAATCTCATATATCCTAGCTAGCAAAAAGTTAATTAATAAAATAAATCAACAAAGATTAGCATACATAAATTGTATGAAATATTTCTACACTTTGATATATGTGTTAGAAGAATGACAATGAAATACAAATATTTGTATCATTCTTTTGTAATAAAAAATGAGGTAATTAATTTTGTGTATGGTTAATCACATTAAAGACATGAATTAGTATAAAAAAGCTGTAAATTTTAGGAAATTCGTTTATATTTGTTGCAGTCCATTATTTGTTTATTGATGCTAATTACTCACATTATTTAATGTTATGTTTGGTATTTATGAGTTAAAGTTTTTTTAAACAATAATATTTTTAAACCGTTTATTCCGTTCAATATATAATTTCATTTAAAAATATTACATCAAAAGTAGTATATAGATAATGTAATAAAATTTAACAATTCTTGCATGCCACACAAGCTAAAAACTAGTAATCATATTATATTTTTGGACAACAAAAAATCTAGTATATATGCAATTCAAAGAAACTCTCTCCTCCCATTTTAAATATTTTACTCTATGAAACAATCTTTAGTGACCAAACCAAATGATAGGGAAGTGAGTTATACATCTCTTAACTTATTATACTAGAAATGGTTTAAATATTTAATGTATTATTCCGCTTATTTATCAATTGGTCTTTGAAATGAAATAATAATAGTAATCACTTCTTTATTAAAAAAATAAGATGATAGAGTACTAATAGCAATCTATGAAAAAACACTATAAAATTAATCTACTCCTAAGAAAAGATATAAACTAAGAAGATAATAAAGATTAAATTCTTCATTTTTTCATTGATTTCTATGGATGAACAATAACATATTTAAAGAGAATGAAAACAACATAATATGATGATAATCTTACAAGTCTCATCATCTTACAGCACTAAAACATTCTAGAAATACTAATGTAATATAAACAATTTAATTAAATCTAAATGATTAATCATATCCTTTCACAAGATTAGATACCAAACACATAAATTTATCATGTGTCCACATCAGGATAAAATAATTAAAAATTAATTTCTTTATATTGCAGAAGTTGACAACCACTTCCACTAGTCTTCACTCGCCACCTCTATTAAATAAAATAATAGTCTACATCTGTCGTTTTATATATTCTGTCACATGCACAAAACTACAAGAAATATAAGACTAATATTAAAAGTACAAATCTTATAGCAGCACATGGTGAGTAAATTATGTAGACTTTCAATATTTTTTAAACATTGTTTCAGCAGTTGCAGTTTTTGATGAATCTTAGTAGTTACAGAAAATGCATATAACAAATTATATTAATGGTTCCAATTTTCCTTAATTTACCTCAATCTACGTAGACGGGGAAAAGGAAATTAAAACGTGGTAGTAAAATATATAGGAATATAAAATGTACATTTAATATGAACCGAAAAAATGTTTACTTAATATTATATCACAATCTAGGCCTTAAAAATTAAAAATCACCTTACAAACTTTTCAACCAATATTCCACTCTGAACTCAGATAATGTCTAATTCTCTTACTCTATTTGGAAATCAAAGGCTCCCTCGAAAGTTATCACATTTGCTTAGAGACTTTTCATGGATAGGATCCCTACAAAGACTGCTCTTTCTAGGCCGGAGTTACTTTTTCTGATGGTGGTGGGCTTCTTTGCCCTTTTTGTAATGGCGATTCAGAATCTGCTTCCCATCTCTTTTCATCTTGCAAAGTTACCTACTATGTTTGGCAATCAATTTATAATTGGTTGAACATCATTGTTACCTTGCCTCAAAATCCCTTACACCATTATTTAAATCATGTGGGTTTGGTCAATGACAAGAAGGGTTGGAAAGTTTGGAGTTTCATCTAGTTCGCTACAGTTTGGGCTATTTGGAGACATCGGAACGACATTATTTTCAACAATACTAGACTTTCCATTAACCACATCTTGGACACTACTAGGGTGAATGTTTGACTTTGGATTAAGAACATATTAGGTGTAGAATTTTCCTTTTACTGCTTTCTAAACCTCTTCTTTGTCTAAATATCAAGTTGTAACTTTTATTTTCTTTATTTTGCTTGTAACATCTTCTTCTCTTTATTAAT